AAGGGTGGCTATCAGAGGGTCTCTGAGTACAGTCTCTGGGGATGTCAAGGGTGGCTATCTCAGTGATTTTTGTCTCAGGGTTTCTGGGAGGATTATCGGTCTGGGAGACCTCTAAGGGTATTTCTGTGGTGAAGTCACAAGGCTCAGTTTTGGTTTGGTGGGCGGCGGGAGAGGGGACCCGGGAAGGTGTCTTGGAGAGAATCTCTTGGGGAAATAACAGAGTCTCTTAGGGGAGTCTCTAAAAGGATCTCGGGGACATCAAGAAAAAGGGGGAGGGTCTACTACTGGGCATGAGAGAAATATTGGGGGTCTCTGGAGGGGTCCCTCTTGGAGGTCCCTGAAGGCGGTCGCGGCTAAGGGAACTCTCTAAGGAGGGATATCTCTGGAGGGAATTCGGGGGTTTTTCAAAGGGCAATTTCGGGGTGTCTGGAGGCGCTCGGGGGGCCATGACCTCACCATGCTCTTCTTGGTCACCATCTTGTCCAGCCGCTTGGCGATCCGCACGATCTCCTCCTCCTTCCCCATCATCGTCCCGTGGGCGGCTCGCTCAGGCCCTGTCCCAGCCGCCGCCGCCGCCGCACCGCCTGGCCCGGGAGTCCTCCACCCGCTGCCGCAATCCGGGCCCTGAGCTGCTCGTCCTGTCCCGCCCCCGGCTCCCCGCAACGACCACGCAGCCGCCGCTGCCAGTGAGCGCCCGGGGCGGGAGAGCAGCCGTTCAAACGCCTCAGGCTCAGCGGCTCCACCGCGCTGCATCCTGGGACGTGTAGTTCTCGAGCCTGCCCCGCCCCTCCCCGCCCCAGGCTCGCGGCTACCAGGCGACCTTGCCCTCGCACGGCGTTGTGGGAAGCGTGGTCTCTGGCCTGCCATCTGTTGCCTCTCCGCATCAAGGGAAGACTCCAAGCCCCACAATTCACTGGGAGAAGCTTCTGTAAAGCTGGTCTGGTGGGCTGGACGTGCGGCTTTGGGAGGGGGATGGTGGTAACATCTCTTCTCAGAAAGGAGGTCCGGAGAGTCAGGCTAACAGTCGGGACCCAGGGAGTTGGAAAGGGTGGGACTGAACAAGAAAGTGAGTGGAGGAAGAAAGGCAGGCTGGCGAAAGAAAAGGGATGATGACCCTCCCTCCTCTCGCACCATCCCGGAGCTCCCAGAGGCAGACACCCCCCGCACCATCGCAGAGCTCCCAGAGGCAGACACCCCCCGCCCCTTCCCGGAGCTCCCAGAAGCAGACACCCCCCTCCCGTCCCGGAGCTCCCAGAGGCCGACACCCCCCCTTCCCGTCCCGGAGCTCCCACAGGCAGACAACCCCCCCTTCCCGTCCCGGAGCTCCCACAGGCAGACACCCCCTTCTTCCTGTACCGGAGCTTTCAATGACAGAGACACTCTGCCTCATCTTGTAGCACACAGTACATCACCTTCCCATTAACCACCACCAACCCTGTCACTATCCCCATCACCATCCTCAGCCTAGAGCTCTCAGAGTCTGTGGGAAGGTCCCAGCAAAAGAATAAAAAAAAAAGTATGTAGGGCTGGAATGAAGCTAAGGCTTTGTAGGAGCTGGAATAGATACATTATACAAATGTAAGACATTATTATTGATAGATGAAGTAAATTAGAGCCAGACTATAGTTGGAAGGATGGGGAAGAAGAGAATGCCAGATTAAAGAGTTTCGATTTTTATCTGTAAGGGGGAGCAACAGGGCAGGATTTGGAGGGGGGAGCTAGTTAAAAGAAGATTGGTCTGGCAGCCTTTTCAGGGCTGGTGGGAGGCCCAAAGCAGGGAAAACAAGCTGAAAGCTGATGGAATAACTGACCTAGGCCTGGACTTAGAGGGGACTTTGGGAATAGAGAGAAAGACACAGATCTCAAGACATTTCAGAAGACAGGACAGGCCTTGGCCACAGATTACACTGGGCTAGAGGAGAGAGAAGAGCGAAGTCAGAGAATACTGAAGTTTAAAGCCTGAGTGATGAGGTAGATAAATAAGGTGGTTAAGATTGGAACTGGTTTTGTGGGGAAAAGAGGAAAAGCTCAGCTTTGGAAATGTGAATAGTCCCATAGTCAGGAACCTCCAATTACTCAGGGAATCATCACAACAGTAACTAAAGCTCCCCAAGACAGATTCTCAAGCCCCAAATTTTTCCTGATCTATGAAGTGTTCTGAGTTTTAAGCACTGAACCTTCAGTCTCAATTTTCTCTATTCTATGTCAACCTCAAATTTCTGAACCTTATGTTTAGCCCTGAATTCTGAAACTTCCGTTCCCCTCTTTTCCTTCTCCAGTTCTGCCAGCTGATACCCCAAGAAGTTTGGGGTTTGCTTTTCAAAAGGGAAAAGATACACTTAAAGAACTATTGAGAATAAGACTGCAAGGATTCCTACGAAGGAATGTCATCAGTAGAGACTGGCGGACTCCCAAGGTTATTAATCTGTCCTATCAAGATGAAAATCTTTGTCCCGCTATGATTCCCTTAGTCTCCCAGAGCTATATTAAAGTATCCAGGCTCCTTTCTATTCTGGCTTAACAGCCCAGGATGGCTCCCAGTCCTTTGCCTACCTTTGTTTTTAAAACCTTCCAGGAATATTGGCTCACCCCTCCCCTTCCTGGACAGTCCAGCTCAGTCCCATTACATTGTGGTACAGTTGAAAGAGTACTGGCTTTAGACTGAGAAAACCTGAGTTAAAATTTTCCTCTGCCAACTTCTTGCTTTGTAACCTTAGGCAAGTCACTTCCTTCTCCCAGGGTCCCAGTTTTCTCATTTGTAAAATGAGGTGGTTGAAGTAATCAATCAAAATTTATTAAGCACCTACTATGTGCTAGGTACTGTGCTAAACCCTTGAGATACAAAAAGAGGCAAAAAACAATACCTGCCCTCAAGGAGCTTACAATCTAGTGGAGGAAAAGTGTGCAAACACATATATATACAAGTAAACTATATATGGGATAAATAGAAAGTAATTAACAGAGGAAAGGCACTAGAATTAAGAAGAGTAGGGAAAGTCTTCCAGTAAAAGAGGATTTTGGTTGGGACTTAAAGGAAGCTAGGGAGATCAGTAGGCCCAGGAAAGGAGAATAAGATAACTTCTGAGCTCCCTTCCAGCTCTAAATCTATGATCCTATCCCTCAGACTCAGAAATACCATAAATCAATCAAGGACTAACCATTCCGTACTTCCTGGAATATTTGGGATCAAACTGGAGAATCTAAGTGCAAAAGAATAAGCCCTTTAGCAAAGTAGTAGCAGGATGTAAAATAAAAACACCTAAATCATCAGCATTTCTATGTATTACCAATAAAACCCTACAAGAAGAGATAGTAAGAAATAGTTCATTTGAAATAACCATAGACAGTATAAAATACCTGGGAATATACCTACCAGGACAAACCCAGGAACTATATGAACATAATTATAAAACACTTTTTATGCAGATAAAGTCAGATTTAAATAATTGGAGAAAAAAGGAAAAGAACCTTATATACTTATATTTATAGAGCTCTTTTTGTGGTGGCTTATCAGTTGGCTGAATAAGTTGTGTATATGATTGTAATGGGATATTACTGTGCTATATAAGAAATGATGAGCAGGTTGATTTTAGGAAAACATGGAAAAATTTACATGAAATAATGAAGAGTGAAACAAGCAGAACCAAGAGAATGTTGTATACAATAACAGCAATAGTGTTTGAAGAGAAATGTGAATGACTAAGCTATTTTGAATTATATGACTATTCAAAACCACTACAAAGGCTATGAAGGAAGATGCTATCCATCTCCAGAGAAAGAACTGATACATGGAACTATGTATTGTATAGTTTCACATCTGTATAGATGTTGGCCTTCTCTAGTGCAGGGTGGGGAGGAAGGGAAGAAAATAGCTTGGAGCTCAAATATAACAAAAATAAAATAAATATAAAAATGAAGCAGCCTTTGAAATCAGGTTCTCATTAGTGTTTAAGAATTGATTCAATACTCTGTTTTCTTGTTTAGCTAAGGCATTTTACATTTTTTGTAGTGCAGGAATTATTTCAGCAGCCAGACCATAGACATAGAAACGGGTACCATATTCAGGTTCTTCTCCTCCCCAGGCAAAATCTCTACATTGTATATAGTTTTTTTGTAACTGAGAAGACAGAAAGACAGATGAGGGATAGCATAGATTTGGGAGTAGTTGGAATATTCTGTGAACAAGCAATCTGTTAACAAGATATAGTTACACCAGATTGGGTAGTAGTTTTCCATTGGTCTGCCTAAAAACCACAAAGTTTGTCATGGGAGAAACAATTTCACATGGTCTTCCAGGGCAGCTAGGTGGTCCAGTGGATAGAACTCCAGGCCTAGCATCTTGAAGCTTCATCTTCCTAAGTTCAAATCTGGCCTCAGATACTTACTAGCTGTGTCACCCTGGGCAAGTCACTTAATCCTGTTTGCCTCAATTTCCTCATCTGTAAAATGAGCTGGAGAAGGGAATGGCAAACCACTCCCGTATCTTTGCCAAGAAAACCCCAAATGGGGCCATGAAGAGTCAGACACGACTGAAATGACTGAACAACAGTAACTTCCAGGGTAGCAATGTGTAGTGCACCCATAATCCATTACAGTCATGTCAAGCTCTATGAGAACAATAGCAAAGGATAGACCTAAAATCCTGTTGCTACATTAATCACTAACTTACTAAGTAATCACTCCCCCCCAATTAAGGGAAAAGAAATGAAACATTTTATCCAAGGAAATAAATACAAAATGAAGAGATCTGGATTTGGAATTGGAGTGACACAGATATGCTCAATCTTAGTCATTGGGCAAACTGAGCATGCTGACAATCCCAACCTCCACCCCATGCCAATTACATAATTATGCCAACTACATAATTCCATCTCCTGATCTTAGATCCTAACTATAGCCCTGGGAGAAAGGCCTGGGTACCCAGCACACCTCCATATCACTGGCTGGCTGCACAATGGCTGGCACATAGTAAACACTATGTAAATGTTTGCTATTGTTATCATTAATGAATGTTTGTAGAGTAACTGATAGTGTCAGAACCCCTAGGAGTAAACTGATCACTAATACAAACAGCTGTGATCCTCTTTTTCCTGCAAACATTGCTGCCTGCTTTTCAAATTGGGCATCCGCAAAAGTCTAATACAGAAGGTCTGGGTTTCGAATCTCCAGTCTGATACTTACTGCCTGCTTGACTTGGGTAAATCAATTCACTTTTCTGGATTTTAGTTTCCTCCTGTGGAAAATGAGGATGTTGGGCTACTTGATCCTATAATTCTGGGTTTTCCTAACACCTCAAATATATAACAAAGTACCCTGATAGTACATAAAGCATTCCCTTCTTTGTTAAGGACATTCTGAGTGTGAAATACCTCCAGGTGGAAACATCTATATGTATATATATGTAAGACTACATATATATATGCGTATATATGTAAGACTATGAACTCCATGAGAGCAGTATTATTTTTTGCCCTTCTTTTCATTCACACTGCTTAGTACAGTGCCTGACACATACTAAGCACTTAATAAATGCTTGTTTGACTGACATTTAATCCAGCTTGGC